CTGGTTGCCTTGGTGTCAGGCGTAATAACGCTTTGATACTGCTGGGAAAATGTCCCCGATACATTCGTCCGCCTTTCGAACGAAGTTGAACTCTGCATTGTACGCTCACGAAACGTTTGTTTACTCGGGTGTATGAGCTCGGATGTTCTGTGAGATGTGTGAGTTGTCGTGAAATCGAAATTGTGATCGAAGGTTGTGTTCTCGTGTTAAAATAGTCTCTTGGTGTAACACAAAAAGCAATGAGACCAGTGTTTTTGGTGGCAGAAGGTTCAAGAAGGAATTGAATGTTAAAAGGTGGTGTTTACATCTTGTATTAATTATTACGCTCTCCATATTAGCGAATACAAGTTATCCGCAGGTCTGTCGTGATTTTACTCTGATTTGACTCAAGATCATCTTACGATTAATCGATTTTTGAACGTCGTAATTTTTTTTGCGTGTTTTTTAATCATTCTGTCGTGCCTTGTCATCTTTTTCTTGGTCTAAAAATATTGGAGATTTATTTAAGGCCGAGGTGATGTCAGGTTGACGAGAATGTGTGAATGCGCGAAATTGGACTCTCAATGACGTGTAGGATTAAATATATTTTTTTTAACTTTTAAAGGACCTTTATTCTTTAAGAGAAGAACTTTGGTTAAAATTAAGACATTCTGTATTTCATTCGGATGTTCAAATTTTTTTTTCTCGCAGCGAGAGAGAGAGAGAGTTTTCCCGCTTGAAATGAACGTGACCTCCGAGGCGACATATTTTAAAGTTGAAAAATAAACTGTCGAGTCATTGCTGTGTAGAGGTTATTGAGACCAGAGTTTGAAAGACAACTTTTATTTTCCTGATCGTGTGTGGTTGTGACCGGAAACAAACCATTTGACGGGGAATCTCGTATAAATATTTATCAATTCAGTCCGTACCGCAAAGAAAACGTTACACTTCACCATCACAAAGATGAACTGATTAATCCCTGTTTACATTGAGAGCCAACGAAAACAATTTATTCGTCGAGGGTTCTAAAGGTTTTGCAGTCGGATTGTACGAGATGGTTTTGCAGGGGGTCGCCGCCCCTCGGCTCGTCGATGTAGTTTTTTTTGTTCGTCGCGCGAACATTTTTTTTTTTTGAGTTTTGCGATGTTAAAAAAAAATTGTGTTTAATTTCGTGGGAACAGCTGACCATTTGAGCTTCGTAATGGTGAAGTGTTGTGTTCTCTTTTCGGTACGGACCGAATTCTTAATTATTATTTAGATGAGCTGCTCATTTAAATGGTTCAGACACGGAGTTTGTAAGGTTTCAACAAGTGAGGAAGGCCTTATTATTATTTCGTAAAGGTTTAAGTAGTGTAATTAGTCACTCTGAAGCTAAGACAAGTGGAAAACATTTTACGAGCTTATTATCATTTGTATTCTTTGTATTGGTTTTGCAATCATTTGACATCTGAAGATTTCTCTCCGTGTTGATAGTCATTTATTGTTCCAATCGCCAGGGTGATAATCTGCCTGTTCAGAGTTCGCGTTGTCCCGGATTGTCAGAGCCATGGTTACGAAGATAAGCTTTAGGAGGTGTTCGGTTATCTCGACAGGATGCGGTTTTAAAGCCCGTTGTGCCTTGTTCGTCGTACAGCGGATGGGTGTATTTTTCGCTGTGTGTGTGTGGTGCGATGTTCTAAATCACTTGGGTGTATCCTCAAAAATTGTAGTTGCCAGAGACCGACGTTTTTGGAACACGCTCCCCACCTTGAAAACTACGTTACGTTGATTTGAACTTCGTCCACGTTTGTTGGTTTTTCACCTGTAATGGCCGCCGAGGTGGTTAACATGTTGGCTTAGTATTCAGAAGGCCCTGGTTTCATGAATTAAACAAATTAAACGAAAATTTAAAACCATCTTGTTATTTAGTAAAGCAACGTCCGTCAAATTTAAAGGATATTGAACTTATCGGTAAGTCTTTCAAACATTTTTTTAAAGAAGGATACTAGACTTGAAGGGAAGGTTTACTGTCTTGTGAGTTTGCACCTTGTAATCTGTCAAAAGTTGTCCGACGTTTCGGAGGTGTTTGTAGCTTCCATCGTCAGGGAGATTTCCCTGAGGCGATCTATGTTCAGAGACGAGGGGTCCCTCAGAAGTTTTGTTTTAGTCGATGCTGAACCAGGACAGAGAAAGATTTGATTATTTATAAGACGACACGGAACTTTTAAGGCGTCGTGTCGTGAGTGTATGACCCCCAGTGTGGACGGTCGTAACTTTCCGACGTGCGTCGTGATACGTCAGTAGTTTTTCTTACGTGCTCGGTATTGGTCTGACCCTGAGTGAGTGTTTCTACGGTCGGTGGCTCCAAAAATCTGAATTAAATGCACATCGTGTGTCGTGTCATGAATTTCAAACGCTCGACGACGGCCACGCTATGTCGACTGACTTGGCTGCACGTCGGTCTATATGCAGCCCCTCGATGACAGAACCGAACGTCACTCTCATGTCGCAGGGAAAGTTCATGACCGCGGTGTCCGCCCGGGGAAGTTTTTTTTTCCTATTCCTTGAAAGTTGGTATTTTAATCCTGTTCTGACGTATTCGTTAACATTTCCTTTGGAATTCAGTTTGGCCTGACATTTGATTTGACGTTTTGATTGGTAATGTAAAATCCTGGACGAAGCCACGAGGATTCTGTTGGAAGTTTCTCCTCCGTGAAAAAAATAGTGCTATTTATTGTACAGGTTTTTAAAAATGTTTGTCTACCTTCATCCAGCCTCATTTCCCGCCAGGAGTTGGCGGATCCTAACTACATTTTCGATTAGTTTACTTTCCAGCCGCGTGTCGCTGGATCTGCTGTTTTTTTTGGCGGGGGGGCGAAAATGTTGTGACTAACTCACAGTCTCAATCTTCAGTCAGGAAGTTTGCTGAAGAGATTCCTCCGCTCTTAACACTTGAAGACCCCGTGGGCCGTGTTTTAATAGATCTTAATCTCATTACCAGACAACTGACGGCCTGCTGTGAGATCACGTGACTTCCCGCAATGCACGTTTCGCTTGTTATCATTTTCTGATGTTTTCCGATGCACTTGTACACGTAATTGTGCGGAAGTTGATACGGTGAATGAATCAACCGGTTCTTCCAAGTAGATCACTCGAAAGACATGCGATTTAGCGGGGATGTGGCAGTGTGAGACGTGGTTGCAGGGGGGAGGGGCGCTGGCTCTAGAGTCCCAGTCGTTAATTAACACGTGAAAGCGAAATTTTCAGTCGTCCGTGAACCAGTTCGATGTTTTCCTTGCCCTCTGGGAAAATCCTCCAGCCACAATCACCTACGTCGTAAGCATTCGCACTTTTATTTTCACGTTTTTTTATGAATAATTATGCGTATTAAGTGTCATGTTTCGCGTGTCTTTGGTTCCCCTAACCACATTTTTCCCATAAGCTCTTAACTTCGGTTAACGCGGTTTCGATATACGCGGCAACGAAACACTCGCGAACGGCGAGATTAGATGGGTCCCGGAGTCATAATGACGATGACAGAAGTGTCTGCCGCTGCCGAGAATCGAATCGCGGTCGTACACATCGATATATCTCTTTGTGAATATCGATATTTTACATTTCGATTGTCGCGTATTTAAAAAAAACGGAAGCTTTAGTCTTGACTAGCGAAAACGACCTTTCTGCGGGGGTTTTTCTCCTTCTTCTTCCAAAAATAGACCATTACTCGTTTATTGTGACAGTCTTACGAATGTGTGAATGTTCTTGTTGAACGATGAACCATTGTTTACATTCGAGGCGGAGCTAACCAACGATTCGTGGAAACCGATTAAATTTCGTGTTCTCACGGAGGCGAATTTAAAGATGGCTGGCTTCTGTGTTGATGCGTTATGCATTCTAGTACGTTACCGACGTTTCAGAGGTATTTGGTGCCTCCATCACCAGGCAGGCACCACTGAAACGTCGGTAAAATAATGCCAGAATACACCGCGCGTTATCCCAGAAGGCAGCCATCTTTACTCATGGAGACTAAATCTCGATTGGATGATTTTTATATATATATTTTTTTCTGTTTGAGTTGCTTTTATTCTGAAATTTACTTTTATGAGCCTTGTATCAATTTTAGAAGTTCGCGTGAGCGCCATGTTGTTATTGATTTCGATGCCGTAATGTAGGCGAGCCATAAGATCGCTTCATGTAAAGTGAAGAGTTGATTAAACGTTCATAAAAAGAGTTATAAATACGTGTTTTAGCAGACCGTTCAGAATTTCACCGCAGTGCGATGATATCTGCTGAGTAATTACGAAAAACATAAAATTCGCTGTCGGCGTCGTGATAATTGGCGAAGCTTTTAGTTTCGCAGTTCCGTGTCGTTAGAGCGGTCGTGCTAATAGACGCCATCTTGCGGTTATTTGTGAATAAGGTTAGAGCTGTGTCTGTATTTTCAGCAGGTGTTCCACTCGTCTCTACTTTGATTTATCGTTTTAATGTCGCGATGTTTTGTGTGTAGCCTCGACGCAGGTGGTCC